TTGCACTCTGTCTTTCCAATGTGGCTTTTATGCTTCCCTGGCAATTTGCTCAGTTTATACTTTTTACACAGGTAAGATGATTTTTTAAATTAATTTTTATTTTTATTTTAAGTTCTGGGGTACATGTGTGGGATGTACAGGTTTGTTACATAGGTAAATGTATGCCATGGTGGTTTTTGCACCTATCAACCCATTACCTAGGTATTAAGCCCAGCATGCATTAGCTGTTTTTCCTAATGCTCTCCGCACCCCATCCCCCGACAGGCCCCAGCATGTGTTGTTCCCCTCCCTGTGTCCATGTATTCTCATTGTTCAGCAACCACTTATAAGTGAGAACATGTGGTGTTTGGTTTTCTGTTCCTGTTGCTGAGGCTAATGGCCTCCAGCTCCATTCATGTCCCTGCAAAGGACCTGATCTCGTTCCTTTTTATGGCTGCATAGTATTCCATGGTGTATATGTACCACATTCTCTTTATCCAGTCTGTCACTGATGGGCATTTGTGTTAATTCCATGTCTTTGCTATTATCAATAGTGCTGCAACGAACACATGTATCTTTGTAATAGAATGATTTATATTCCTTTGGGTATATTAATTAAGTTGAATGCAAGATGTCCTTGGTTGTTTCCATAGAAATTTTTAAATATGGTTATATTTATGCCCTAAAAGATTTTCAAAATAGGGAATAAAGTTTACATAAAGGTATGATTTTTATGAAATAATATAATTCCACATTCTTTTACTGTATTAGTTAGTTTGACAGATTTTAAGGCTCAACATGTGAAAGAGTTTTTCTATTATATTTATTCACAAATGTTATTTTTGGTGTTTGAGATAGTATCTGTATATATCTACCTATAGATTTTCCTTTTGTCCTGGGAATCATTCTGGGTGCCAAGCTACACAGCATGCTAAGGGCCAATCCTACTCTTCACAGCAGGACGTTCTGCTTCCAATCCAGCTAAATGTTGGCTGTTTTGTCTGTGGAGCAGAATTTTACCTGGCAGCATTTCTATGAGCTTTAATCATAAAGCTCATCATTGCTTAAGTGAGCTGAGCCCATATCCTGTTTCTAAAGCAGCTACGTAACTAGTACCAAGAAACTGAACTGGGGAAGCAGAGAGTAAATGGAGAATTTTGAGGAAATTTCATGATACTAAGATTTTCCATCAGAGCTCCTTCCTGCATAATAAATACTGATGATGATAATAATACTCTATATTGGAAGTAAGAAATTCTGCCAAGAAGTCTTATGCTGCCAATAGCCTACAAAGAATGAAATGATAACCCCAGCTTAGTTGGTGCTGCATGTTTAAAGTATTCCCTCCGCTTTACTTCATAATAGTTGGCTCCTTTCAGGTTATAACATGGACATTATTCTATGGTTTCCATTATTTGCAAATGCCAACAGAGTAGAATCGATTTTTAATGAGCAGCACTTCATTGCAAGCACATTTATTAATCCAGTGGTACTGATGAAACTAAGCAGCTCTTTGGGGCCAAGCACGATGGCTCATGCCTGTAATCCCAGAACTTTGGGAGGCTGAGGCGGGTAGATCGTGAGGTCAGGAGTTCAAGATCATCCTGGCCAAGATGGTGAAACCACGTCTCTACTAAAAATACAAAAAAATTAGCCGGGCATGGTGGCGGGTGCCTGTAATCTCAGCTACTTGGGAGGCTGAGGCAGAGAATTGCTTGAACCTGGGAGGTAGATGTTGCAGTGGGCTGAGATCGCGCCACTGCACTCCATCCTGGGTGACAGAGTGAGACTCAGTTCCAAAAAAAAAAAAAAAAAGCTCTTTGGGTAAGTTTGATATTGCTGTAATGATTTTCTAGCCATTCTCTGGATATATACTAGGCTTTTATTTTTCTTTACTAATGTATATAGTTTTGTTTGTATTTGTACGTTTCATGCTTACAGAGGGATAATTCAATGTTATTTTCTGGGTGTACTTTTAAGATTTTATTCTTAATTGTGTTTTTCATAGATTAAGGTTAAACTTAGTTCATTGTGCCACCACATCTGGCTAATTTTTAAATTTTTTGTAGAGATGAGGTAGCACCATCTTGCCCAGGCTGCTCTTGAACTCCTGGGCTCAAGCAGTCCTCCTATCTGGGCCTCCCAAAATGCTGGGATTATAGGCGTGAGCCACCATGCCTAGCCCAATTTTTTTATAACTTCTGTGCTCTCCTGGAATTTTCAATCCTATCAGTTATTTCCTTGAACATTTGAAGCATAGTTTAAAGACATATCTGATTGCACCAGACAAGTGTTTGAGTGATCTCCAAGCTAAGAATAGTTTTTATATATTTAAAGGGATATAGAACAAAAATAGAAAAAGAATATACAAGAGACTGTATGTGACCAACAAAGCATAACATATTTATTATCTGGCCTTTTATATAACAAATGTGCTGGTCCCTGATCTAAATCTTTTGTGGATCTGTTTCTGTTGTGTTAGTGATAGTGTCTTATCTCCATCTATGCTGGGTTATTTTTGATTTGGTGCTGGACATTATACATGAAAAATTGGAGAGGCAAGTCAAAAGCACTAATAAATCTTGAACCACCTTCATGCAATCAGATTGAGATGATACATAGATAGGTTTCAGTCTTTCTGAGGGCTGCTTGATTTCTGGTTCACTATTATAGTATGGCCTTTTGAAACTCCAAGCTAAAGCACCCTTCTTGGTGCACTCTGACTGCTGAATCTGCTGAAATGCCTGCTCAGCTTGTTGGTCTCCCAACTGCCTCTCAGCTGGCAGGCATCTGCCTCTGTTGAAATTGGCAGATACCTGTGGGAGAAAAGTGGCCCAAAACGTCACGCTCATCACTATAGATTGCCATCTATCTTTTTAATTCCTCACTTGCTTTGTTAATAATCTGTGGCTTTCATACATATTTAAAAAGTATTTTTATTTATATATTTATATTTTTCCTACACATTCTAGTTCTTAGTGGGAAGGCTGGTTCAAATTCCTTTACTTACCATTATTAGAAATGTAGCCCTCCTCTTATATTTACTTTGCCTATGAATAGTAAAGTGTTAGCTTTCTATACTTTTTTTCACTTTTGCTTTTTTGTATTATTTCAGATAGCATCATTATTTCCCATGTATGTTGTGGGATACATTGAACCAAGCAAATTTCAGAAGATCATTTATGTGAACATGGTAACATTTTTAATATATATAAGTCAAATGTTTAGATAGGTCCTCAGAGTTTATAAAATCGAAGTGATTCTGTTTTATAGGGTACCTCCTCTTTGGTAATATTTAATACATATGGTACTGGTGATATCCAGAAGGAAAACTGGAAATGTATATTATAGATGTCATATTATAATAGATTATACTTTCAACTAGACTATAGATGTGTTTTATTCTCTAAAACGTTTATGTTTTATTTATTATTATTATTACTACTTTTAAAACTGCCTTTTCTTTCTCAGACATGAGATTTTAGCATTTTGCCTGAATGACACTCTAACTGAAATTTTATATCCTTGCAATTTTGTTTTTGGCTTAGGTCCCAAACATAGCTTCCTTAAAAATATAAAAAGTTAGCAAAGCTTCATAAATAATAGAAGTCCTGAAGTCTAACAAAAATAAGATTAGTAAAACTAGTATTTATAACTTAAGTCTTTCTTGTTATATTACTCCATTGTTAAAACAATAGAAATCAAAGACTTATTTTTCATTGTTCCAAGTAGCCGATGGAGAAAAAGTGAAATTCTGCCAGATAGAGTTTATAGTCTTGAATTTTAATACTTACAATCTAACAGTGACTTGAAATTCTATTATCATTTGGCCAAGAGTTATTCATCTTTATGCCTGTAATCCCAGCACTTTGGGAGGCCGAGACGGGCGGATCACGAGGTCAGGAGATCTAGACTATCCTGGCTAACGCGGTGAAACCTCGTCTCTACTAAAAAATACAAAAAATTAGCCGGGCGAGGTGGCGGGTGCCTGTAGTCCCAGCTACTCGGGAGGCTGAGGCAGGAGAATGGTGTAAACCTGGGAGGTGGAGCTTGCAGTGAGCTGAGATCCGGCCACTGCACTCCAGCCTGGGCAACAGAGCGAGACTCCGTCTAAAAAAAAAAAAAAAAAAAAAAAAAAAATGGCTATATACCTACAAAATATGCATTATGCCAATATATGTAATAACCATAAAATGTATTTTTTCACTTTTTTTTCAGATTTCAGTTATTCTTAGTTTCATTTTGATGTTTGGAAATTCAATGTACTTATCTTCTTATTATTCTTCATCTTTATTAATGACGTGGGTAAGTGTTTAGTTCATGAAGTTGGGTTTTTTTTAACCTACCAAATAGCATGTTTTCCTGTCTAAAACAGGTATAAGAGAATAAAGAGGCCCTTTCCTGATTATCATTCAACATGACACAGTTCTTCCCAAGCAAACCTTTTTATCTGTCTTATCCTTGAAAAATATTATAGTAGGAAGTTTTTCTTTTTAAGACAAAGCCCAAGTAAATATTTAAAAATTATCATAAAATAATAAAGACTTACTTTAATCATGTCCCATTTTATGATAAAAATGACTTCTTTTCTCCTAAGTCACTTGAGGAGGTTAAGTACTCATTGCAGTGACACTGCCACTGCCCAAAACATTTTTGGAACTCCTCTGAGTTTCCTTCACAGATACGGCACATTCTTTAGAATGTCTTCACTGGTGGCAAATCTTTGCCTTTCAAGAGTGGATCTGATTTTTGGAAATGACCAAAATTTTGTGAATGTTTTGTGTGATTAGGCTGGGAAATACAGATCTTACTCAAATGATGGTGTGACAATAAAGTCATAAGACCAATTATTTTGCACCTATAACTAAATTATTTCTGAAGGCAGTTTAGAAAGTGTAGTTCCAAACTACTTTGATCAATGGCAAGACAATTAGAATAAGTGTGTAGTCTGCTCACAGGAACTACATGGAATGACATTTTTTGGATATGTGTTTGGAAGGGTGGTTTAGTGAATCAGTTCTATTACATTGTAGTTATACTTCTGATATCTATAAGCTAGAGCCTAGAATATTCTCCTGTACCTCCCATCTCCACACTGATCAGAAATGGTACCAACTACAGTAATGCCAAAATATAGCCCTTTTCCATGTATGGTGCAGTGGTTTAATCTTTTGGTATTTCCCTTATGTTTTAACATTTTTGCTTTTCATATCGTTTTTCCCTCATAGTAATTCCTCCTTTTTCTCTCCCAGAAAAAATGCTCTTTCTTTCCAACATTTTGTCATACTATTTCACCATTACAGAGTAGAGGACTCCTAATAGTGTGCTTATCTACCTCTTTTAATGAAAACTTTTTAATTTTGAAATATAGTACAGATAAAAACTACATAAAGCAAATGTTTTGTGTGCTGAATTAGTGCTGGTTAATACTGATGAGTACAATCTCCCCTCAGTGTCTGCAGGGATTGATTCCAGGACATCCCCAACCCCTGTGGATACTAAAATCTGCAGATGTTGAAGTTTCTTATGTAAAATGGTGTGTTACTTGCATATAACCTATGCCCATCTTCCTATGTACTTTAAATCATCTCTAGATTACTCTTGACATCTAATGCAATATAAATAGTATGCAAATAGTTGTGTACTGTATTGTTTTTTCATTTGTACTTTTTAAACTGTTGTATTATTATTATTTCAAATATTTTGTTTCTGCCATTGGTTGAATCTGTAGCAATTGGAACCCATGGATGTGGAGGGCTGACTGTGTTATGTATTATGTGGCCAACATTCTTAAACTACCATTATATCAAAATTATAATTTTCTAAATGAGTGTAAAAGCCCTCCATGTAGCCTGTCCCAAAGCACTCCCTTGTACTGCCCTAAAACAATAATGACTGTGTTGATTGCTATGATAGTAACTTTCCAGCATTCCTTTTTAGTTTCATCACTTAAGTTTCTCTTTTTAGCTACAAGTTTCCTGCATATCTGCCTGGTTTTATCCTCATGAAATTTATTTGTTGAAGAACCGGAGTCAGAATATGTGGAGGATTTCATGGTCCAGATTTTGCTTTTTGAGTTCTTGTGGTGTAGCTAAGCATGTTCCTTTGTCTCATGGCATAGCTTAATATATTAGAAACTGGATCTGAAACTTGGATTGCTTCAGGCTTGATCACTTTGGCAAGTCTACAGTATTGTTCTTTCATTAAAAGGCATATAATGTCTCTCTTTATGATACTAGACTTCAGTGCCTTATGATGGATCTGTTAATTCAATAGGGATTGCAAAGTGGTCACATTCTAATCCGTCATCTAGAGTTCATTTAGGAAAAGTTAAGTAAGTGTTGATTTACCTCTTTATTTGCAAATTTTAAAAATAATGAATTGATTCCCTGTCATCTTCCAAATGTGGGCTCTTTGGGCTGTGTATGTGTGTGTTTAAGTTTCATTCGGAACATAGGGATTTAAACATTTTTGATGTATTTCAAGTTAATTGAAATTATTATCTTTACTCATTCTCAGATTGTTTCACTGTTGACCAGGGGAGCCTCTTTAGGGTTCTCCTGAGTTCTCTGACGTGACCCTGGTGGTCTGATAGCACACTTGTGTCACGTATGACAAGTTCTTCCAGGTCTCTCTTGTGGACTCCTGCCCAAACCCTGGAGGAAGCCATTCCTGCAAGACACCCTCCTCGCCTTTACCGGGTAAATGGTGTTTTAAGACCGCAGTCTGGGACCCAAGGATACTCACTGCTACTGAGTAGGTCATTGTTTCTAGGCCTTCTTAGTGGACAGAGGTAGGAAATATCATAGGGTGTAGGCTCTCTCTCTTTCTTTAAAAATCTACCATGAAAACATGTGTGTGTGTGCATGTGTGTGTGTGCATGCATTTATGGTAAACTAGCTCACAAGTTCTGATGGATATTTCCAAATCAAATTCAAGAATATAGGGTTTTTACTTAACTCTTTTTTGTTTGTTTGTTTCTCTTGGGTCTCAAGAAGCCAGGGGATGATAGAATATCACATATCCAGTTGCCTTCTCCCAAAGTGTATGCATGAGAATTGCTATACTGCA